GACACTGTCGTCTCCGTGTTGTAACACTACGCCGCTTATCCCGGCTCTCACTCCTTCACTCAGGAAACCTGTTCGGCTGTCCCCCCGGGCCGGGAAACAGTGTGATTTTCAGATTTACCCAACAGTGCCCCATGCACACTCAATTAAGAAGTAAGGGAGTCTAAAACTTGTCTACGCTAAGTATAGGACATGTAGGATGAAGCCCAACACTTCACAGGAAAAATGAGAAACAGTTCTGGAGAGAAATAGATTGTCTCAGAACATGAGTTGAGCAGAATTTAAAGCAGGTGAGAAGATTTTCTTTCTCTTTCTTTCTTTCTTTCTTTTTTCTTTTTTTTTTTTTTGGAAATGTTTTGACTATAGGACATATGAACTCACCAGAAAGACAGAAAGAGAGAAAGTGATAAATCACCCCCTGAGGGGATAGACAAGGCTGCAATCCCTTCTCCTTCATTCTCTTCTCAGGATCTTGGTCACACACGCATATACGCCCAGTGTGAGTTTAAGCCACTAGGTCTGGGACTTAAACCACAATCAACCACATGGGAGTCCAGCGACATGGCCATTACGCCAACTGCTGGTCTTGCAGAAGTTTTTAGTCTCCTGTGCTAGAGCTCAATTGCTCCCATGTGATTTGATTTTGAGATAAAATATCCTAAGGTGCTAGGGGAACCCTGCCCACCCTATCCTATACGGTCATTGTCTGTTGGCATTGGCACTTGTGCACAGGCACACACACACTAAACTTACAGGTGGGCTCAGGATAAAAGATGATACTGAAGAAGGAATAAGGGGAAAGAATAGAGGTGGAGGTAACTGGGTCAGGAGGAAGAATGTCCTGTCCCTCAGCAACATGTTTGTGCCTCAAAACATGGGAAGTGTGAAAATGCCAGAATGATGGAGGTGGGTTCCCAAGGTCCTCAAGTTTTTCTGAGCCAAAAATTCCCTAGAGAAACCTCAAAACTTAGACCTGCATCCACCACTCTGGGCACTAGAAACTAGAATGGGTCGCTGTCCTAGTGCAAATGGGTCACAGGAGAGGAGAACTCAGATACTTACTCCAAGATTACTGTAGTTTGAATGTGTGTCCTAGGTTTTATGTCTGGGAAATTTAACCCCAAATTTATATGTTTACAGTACTGGAAGGTGGGCCTCTGGGAAATAATTAGGGTTAGATGCAATTACCTGGGTGAGGGCCTCTTAATGTGACTGGTGAATTTGTAGGAAGGAAAGAACCAAAGCTGACACATGCTTGCCCTCTTGTCATGAGATATCTCCCACCATGTCATGACAGCAGGAAGACCCTCGCTGGTTGCTGGCATGTTAGCATTGGATGTCTCAGCCTCCAGAAGCATTAACTAAGTAAACCCCTATTTTAAAATAAATTGCCCAGTGGGCATTCAGATATAAAATCAGAAAATGGATCAAGACAGGGTTGCACTGACTGAGCTACCTGAAGAACTGCACAGGCTCATAGAAGTGACTGTGGGACTTGGTTATCAATTGATGGCCCACTGTGCACTGAGATCCTTGGAAAGGCTTTCTACTTTCTGG